GCCCCTTCTGACGGTTGATGCACTCCTCATGGCGAGTGCTTGCTTGGTGCGCGCGCATCGACGCTGGCTGCAAGTCGCGGCCACCGCTTCCATTCCTCCCGTATCGTGCGTTGTCTCGGCCGTGTTCACTGCACACACTGCAACGCAAGCAAGGCAAGCCGTCATAAGCCTTGTCGAGCAAGAGCCAGTCAAACATCGGGTGCCATTTCATAATGTAGTTTTTGTTGGCTTCCTGGAAATTTGCTTCAGCGCGTTCAGCAGCAGTCAGCTTGAGAGGTGATGGCACTGGAGTGACCGCGGGAGGTGGCGGAGGAGGAGGTTTCACAAGCGGCGTGCCGGCGCCGAACCCAATCGTTGTCTGCGTGTAGCGGCGACGTTTCAGCGCTGCCGAATTAGAAGACTCCGGGGCTTCGGTGACGATGTCCGTCGTCTCAACGTCACCGTGAACGTCGAGGTCCGCCTCATTGCTTGTGGGACGTTGCGTCTCAGCGTCGTCTGAAGCTAGCTCCTGCTCAGGCGGGGGTGACCGTGACACAGCTTTGCGCACACGAAATTGCCAGCCCTCACTGTCATCCGAGGGCACAGGCAAAGGGCGAGGTGCAGATTCAGTTACATGGCCTCGCAAAAACTCGAGACCAGTCCTTGGCCTATAGCTACAAGAGGGGTCGCCATCATCGGCATTGGCAGCGTCTCCAGGCGCAGCCATGGCTACCAGGTGGTGGTCGCTCAGCTGCTACATTGAGTGGTTAAAACAGGAGCGACTTTGGGGTGGTGGTGAAATGACGGTGTCACACTATACTGCTAGCTGTGCTTGCAGAACCCACACGGCAAAGCTTCGGGACAGAAACTCACAAAGCGCCACGGTCGGGGACCGTGGTTTGCATCTCCAAGCACCGACAATCTGAATGTGGTCCCACTCCCAGGACTTAGTTCAGGCAGCAATACTGTAGTTGCTGCCAATGTGGGATTGCGTGTCGTGCTGGCAAGGGAATTATTCCTAACTGACCAATCGGACACATGACAGAAGCCAACGCAAGTACCGGGGGGGGGGGGGGGGGGAGGGGAAGGGGTGCTTTGTACGCACTTCAGTGTAATCTACGATAAGTAAAAAATTACCCCAAGGCATCAGTGTGGCCTAGAACGATACACTTACAGATCAGTGTAACACTAAATCATAAAAAAATTACCCCTGCACATCAGTGTAGACCCAAAATTTCACCCTTGTAATTAGTGTAGAAGGGTAAATTACACTGCAAACCTGAGCCCTGTTCGTAGTAGATGTAGTGAAGACGGTGCAACAACAACAACACCGTCATCTCAAAAAGGTCCATTCCAAACTTCTGCCTCATAAGACGATGAATTTCCAATTATCTGTTTCGTAGGACACAAAAAAAATAATGGAATGTACACGCGTCATAATATAAAAACACTAAATTTGTGAGTAAAGATAACGCATGATCTGCATCTTGGATGGCAAAAGAAAATACACAATTTATTCCAACAACAAAAATTCTAATACGAATTCGTTTCTGCACAGATTTTATCAAACATATTTTACAAAACAATTACTCCTATAAAATAACATTAAACATCGCTGCTGTACAAGCCCCACATTGCGCGAAACAATTCCTACTATTCCGAGGTGTAGAATGTCGAACCAGGAGATCGCACGGTTCCAAGCCATTTCACCCCGTTCTGGTTTGCAGAGGCTAGGATTGGCTGGCTAAACAAAGCTACGTCCTAGTTACTACGAACTGAACAGAGCCTGGCTGCACTAGAGCCTCGAAAGCAGCGCGAAAGTTACTGCAGAGACACTACACATACCACAAATCTACCACCAACCCACCTTGCACAAAAGGTGACTTTTTAAAACATACGACCAACGCTTCTCAATTTTGAGATGGTTCGTGGGGCATCACGGGCAGTGCAAAGAAGAATGGATTCCGAAACCGTCTCCCAACGGCAACCCTGCGATCGATTTCACGCTTTCAACCATTTCTCATGAGATTGCGGAAGCAGCAACGGACCCATATGTTCAGACCGGGTGGGGTGACGAGAACGGTGAGAATGCGAACAAGTGTTACATGGACGTTGGTCAGACGAAAACGGGCAAGGACAGCCGCGGTGGAACGTACAAGTACAATCTGGTTGGGATGAACAACATGAGGTTTCTGATCCAGAGTAACTGGGACTGGCAGAAGAACCAATGTGTGACGCAGAGGAAGTACCAGTAGGGGGAGGATTTATGTGTGTCATCATGCTCGAATGAAACGTTTCCCATCTCTTTCTGAAGTCTAGATACAATGAATACGGTCCGATGCATGGATGTACCGTGAAATATAAATCAACAGCGCTTCTTTTATGCATCATGATTAGCCAAGCAGAGCCAAGCCTAGTCGATCCAAGCCTAGGAAAAGCAAGGTTCAGCCCAACCCAAGTAAAGCTATTCCAAGCAAATTAAAGCCAAGCCAAGCCAGGTTGGAGGGCAAACCAAGCCAAGCATAGCCAAGCCATGCAAAGCCATGCCAAGTCGGGCTCGACCAGTCCAACCCAGGACAAGCCTAGCCAAGCCAAGAATCGCCAGGCGAGGACAAGCCAGACCAAGCCAGGCCTCGACAGGCCAAGCAAAGCCAAGCATTGCCAAACATAGTCCATCCAAGCCAATCCAGGCCATGCCAAGCCATGCCAAGACAGCTCCATGCATGCCAATCCAAGGCAAGCCAAGAGGATAAATCAAACAAAGCCAAGCCTTGCCAGGACAGTCAAAGCAAAGCATAAGACAAAACAAAACAGGCCAACCTACACCATACCAAGCCAAGTCAAGTCAAGCCAAGCCAAGCCAAGCCAAGCCAAGCAAAGCTACATCGCGGAAAAGGGAAGTGCGAAAAAACACTTTTAAGTAAAGAAACCGCAACTCTAGGGTTACATGGACTTCGCAAGAAAAGAGTCAAGGTTCAAAATCTTGGTTGCACAAGTGACTTGTTTAGCAACTTATGCGTCACTTTACGGGTAGCTTCCGGATACTTATAACATGGAAACCACAACACGTATGCGGTTTCCAAAACGCATCCCCAAAGTCGCTTGCCTAGTTACTCACCATCCTACGTGCAAGTGACGCGACAACATCACCTGCAAGCTGCAAAAACGCATCACAAGAGCCCCCACTCGTACAGCAACTCCACGTGGCGAACCATTTCAACATCCGCCGCCACGTAGGCGATCACTCCGACAAGTGAACGCTATCTCACACCGTCAGATGTTTATGCTTAAAACTGAATCCTGACTCTACAAGTGTCGCAAGCATAAAATCTCGCCCTACGCATAACCCCTTCTCGCGATGAAAATCACGAATCCCGCCACTATCACACCATCACATCCCATCCATTCATCTCCACCACCACAACGCACCACTACATGACACGTACCATTTACTGGAACCAATCACACAGCACCTCAACAGAGGCCGAAACCTCAATCCAGTCACTACAACTGTCGTCTCACTACAAACTTGCACGCTGAGTTACATATTCGCAATCCTCATGTCGCCAACGTCGTCAACACCGCCAACTCATACCTCAACCGCTTATCCCTACACCCAGCATGCATTACCCATAGGACACGTGGCGGTTACCGCATCCGACACCATACTCTGTTAAAATGCATGGCGACCGCCCATTATTACCCCCATCGTGCTTCGAGTTCCCTGCACGTGTCACACACCCATGCTTTCGTCTCGAAGCGTTACTAATCCACGATGCCATTTCGCATACAACGCAAGCACAAGCGCGAAACCATGTGGACCGTCCTCATTTCGCCACGTCAGCGAAACCAATAGATTCAGGAACCGACTCAGAGCCCTAACCACACAAAAACCGCCTTTCCATCAATTCCAGCGAATCCCGTGCAGACATCTGGTAATCCGCGCAACATTTCAAACCTATCACAAGACTCCTTCTACATCCACTTCTCCATCACATCCGTTGAATATTGGGGTCAGATATTTACCTCACGTATGCGATTTAGTTTCCACATTCTGCTGTCCACCTATCCCCGTGATTTACGGCGAAAATGCCGCCACAAATCACGGCGCGCTGCGACACGCGCCGCCCATACTGGCAATACTCGGTACCACACCGTCCACTACCAATTCTCTTCGCATAAGCTCCACTTCCAAATGAGCGACATGGGAAAATGAATACAGTTTCAGCAACAAAACCAACTATATGGTACAAGAAACCGCATACAACACCACACTTTCCGTATACCTACCCCACTTAAAGTGTCTCCCTACCCATAACCACCATGCAGTACATCAGAAACCAAACAACATCAAAGAAATACGACATTCGAAGTACCATACGTCTTGCAGCGCAAGCCCAATCGATGGCTACACTACTCATCACCAACGGACGCGGGCAACTCTTCGTCACAGCCGAGATCGTCGGCTTGGGATCCGCCTGCAGGCCTCATCCCTTCAAGCCCACTAACCGAAATAAGCATACCGTGGCGGCCCCAAATCCAGGCCTCACGCTCAGCATCCCATTCGGGATTGAACACCCGAATAGCCCTCTCAACAGCTCCTTTGGCGAGCACCTTGAGCCCATTGACCATGTGGCCGTTGCCACCCGCAGAGTTGGAAAGGCGGCCTTTGCGCTCCTCCCAATACATGACAGCATCCGTTACCTGCAACAACCATGTAACCAATTTAGCTAGCCCGACGAGTGTTAAAAACCGCCACACTATGAAAGCCTTCAAACTCACCACGTGCTCGAGCCAGGCCAAGTGGTACACATTCAGAGTGAGAGGAACTCCTGGCTTCTTCGGCTTGAATGCAGCCTTGGCGCACGCGACAAAAGCAGCAGATGCAAATGGCATGCCTTGGCGGTCGTTGCTCCAGTTTGACAGCGCAAGAGTTTCTGCACATACCACCAACCGACGTAGGTTTAACACTAGTAAAGACAAACACATGTCGAGTGCTGTCACCACAGCACAATGACTCATCACGTACCCGCTTCCTCACCGGACAGACCTATGCGTTCCTGGATCTTCTCTGCGCTGCGCTCCTTCTCCGGTGCCCATGGGCTCGATGCATCTATCTCGTCACGGAACAACCCGAGCTTTGGAAGCGCGATATCTCTAACTCGCGCTGCAGCACGGGTCTTCCACTCGCTCAACGTCTTGTTCAAATCAGCTCGACGTGACTTGTCAGCAGCCAATGCCAGGCACGCGTAAGTGTAGGGCAGACGGTCTAAAACCGCACAAACCCCGTCGGTTTTGTCGTCGCTACTCGGGTAAAACGTCATCGTTGCGTACGACTTGCTCATAAACAGGTACACCCTGACTAGGTCGCACATGCGCTGCACACCACGTGGGAAAATAAGACACCAAAAGCGATTTTACGATGAACACCTTAAAATTTACCTCACTTATCGAGTCTGCCCATTCCTCAACCGCACGTCTGACATAACAAAAACCGTCAACAAACCACAACCCAAACGATACCAACCATACACGTCGCACGCCTCACCTTCCACGCCTTGTCTGCAGGGAGCAGATCAAGCGCGCTCTGCAGCACAGGCGACCTTGAAGACCTCATATGGCGCCGGCGCGAATCATCACTCTCGTCGTCCTCGTCGCCTTCAGAAGCGTCACTGCGCGCCTCCACACGGCGATGTTTCGGGTTGGCACACCTGAGTCCGGGATCTCTCTGCTTCTCCGCTTTCCGGCGACATGACCCACCAGGACTCTCTGCCAAGGCTTTCATCAACAATTCTTCCAGCCGAGCCACGGTCTTAGCGTTGTCATCTTGCGCCCGCTTAAGACTATCAAACACGGCGCCATACACGGGCACCTCCTCGGAAGGGTTTTGTGACCCCTCTGGTGTTGCACGTAAGGCGACCAGCGGGTCATCACCCTCCACTTCAAGAGGTTTATCTTTGCCCCCTTTTGATGCATTAATCGCTACAGAATGAACATGGTTGGCTGGCTTGGTTTTAGCCTGCCCCTCATCGCTCTCGCCCTTGCTCGCGGACTGCGCCGATTCGGAATCTTTGGCATCAGGATAGTCGCGCTGTTGTGTCGCCTCAGTGGTCTCGATGCCCTCGGTTTCCTCTGCCCAAAAATGGCATAGTATGCGGAAATCAATAACAAACTCTACTCATACTCCTACAACAACAAACATAGTTGTGTGTAGTTATAAAACACAAAATTTAACCCCTTCACGTACAAAACGCGTGCCCAACCGACTTCCGCATACCTTCGCCCCCAGAGGTTGCGGTCTTCTTCAGCCTCTGAAAGTTCAACTTCTTGGGGACATTAGACCCCCGAGGTCCCCTTGCACCATGACCAATAGGAGCGGCCAGTTGATAAGACGCCCGCAAATACGCTGGCGCCTGTGTCGCCCTCCTGGATCTCCCAGCAGGCTCTGTGTTCTGGGAGGCGATGGAGTTTTCCATCTTGGAGAAGGTAATGAGAGAGAGTGATTGTAGTGTTCCGTCTATGACGTCTTATTCAACAAACACGTATGAGAATTCTTCACCTTCAGGTATGCACAAACCAATAAGGGTATTCGGTAACCAGTCATAATTGGCGATTACCGCAATCCACACGTCCAATCGTACAACGCTACATCAGCATCAATGAGAACCGCGAAAACCATATCACATCGGGCCAGTCTGGCGCATGAAAAGGAAACTCGTGTAGGTTTATCAAAACCGCATACCGCATGGAAACATCAGTCGGTCCAACGTCAACACTATAACATATTTTTACATATCTCACACAGCGCACACACAAAGCCTCTGGCTCCCTAAAAATCTACTTCGAATGGCTTACGCATACAACACAATATCCGAACAAATCACATTTACACAGCAACCATTTGCTCTACATTAGTAACAATCTCCACATCACACGAAAACACACATATCTGGTGCCCACCCCTCACCATTCCTACTCCGTACCATCATCGTCACCATCTTCCTCGCACACGTATTTTGCATCACCCTCGGAGCCCTCATCTCCCTCTTCGCCCTCAACACCGTCATCCTCATCTTCCTTGCCGATCGCACCCTCAGACTGCGCTTCTTTCTCCATGAGGTCGGGCCCAGCATTACGTACCAGCTCCGTTTGTAAAGTTCCACCACCATCACTACCCATCGCTTCAACAACCCCTACACCCGCCGAGTTGACGTTGGTTCGCCTCTTCTTTCCCCGTGTGTTAGCTGACGGGCTCTTCCTCACACGTTTCTTCTTGGCATTCAGTTCCTGCACCACCGTCGCCCACTTCCTCCACCGCCACCACATGCGCGCCCCCACGAGCTTCGCCACCGCATCCTTGTCGCACCCCTTCAACAACCCCTTTTGTGCATCTGTCAGGGGGATGGTTTTCTCCATCTCCACACCGGGCCGCAGCACAAAAGCAGCAGCGGCAAACGCTTGGGCGGCCTCCCTGGGGGTTGTATATGCTCCGAGTCGATGCTGCCGCCGTTTCACCCCTTCCCACGTCAAAATCTTAGCCGCCCACTTCCCAGTTGACTTCTCGACGGATAACCCGGTATAACTCGACCAGTCAACGTCCTCATCATCGCCTCCCTCCCTGGGGCTCTCGTGGTGTGCAGCTGTCCGGCCTCCATGCCCTTCTGCACAGTGGGGATGCCTTGAGCAGCCACACGCTGCTGTCTGGAAATCACCAGGTGCGGTATAGTACCGGGTTGCGGGAGTGTTCCCGCCATCGCCGGAAACTGCACTCCTTCCCCCATGAACCTTGCACCAAGCGACACCCGCGTATCCGTACACTTAACGACCTCCTCAGGACTCTCCAGCCCGGGCTTAGCAAACCCAGAAGGGCGCTGGGGGGTAGGGGGCGCGTGTTTTGTGCGACTATTTGCTAGGATGCAAACTTCGACACCACCGCCGTCTTGCAGGAGTTGCACCGCTGCATCTTGCACCTGCTCTGGTGTGTAGCCCATCACATGCGACAGGAAAGCAACGCTGCGTTCAAGAATTACCATCTCGCGCTTCCCCGACAGCTGTTCTGCCTGTAGCTGCTCCAACCTCGCGTGACAGGCATCGTGCTGAGGATGCGGAGCAGGACGGTCTTTCGTCAACTCGGGGTGCTCTTGCGAAGGGATGTCAATGTTGTCTGCTGCCAACCTAGGCAGAAGGGTACCGGCGGCGTGCTCATAGATGTCGGCGCGCATTCCGTGCCTATACTTCAGCGAACTAACACCTTCAAACCAGAGCCCTGTGCACACGGTCTTGAAGCTCGTCTCCACTAGCTTCTTCAGGTAGTGGCACAAGAAAATCCCGCAGTCGTGTGAGTTTGGCTGCTGAGGGCAGTGTTCCTCCTGCTCAAGACACAAGGCAAGAAACAACGAGTTGCATAACTAATTCTAATGTTGCAGTTCACCACTATGTTCAAAATGCATGTCAGAACTCACCCCTAGCACGATGCACCTGGCTTCCGTGAGCACACTGTCCACATGAGTCAAATCCGCATGCGGATGGGTCTCTTGGGCCAGAACGGAGAGCACCCTGTGTAAAACAAAAACTCCATATATGAGAATGTTGTGATAAACACATGCGGCGAATGAAAACGGGGCCACGTACAGTTTACACCCGCTGAAAATGGCCGCCGCGTCAGTTTGAGAGAGCGCGCTGTCATACAGCACCATCTGCAGGCTGTCTTCGCCATCTGACGTCGACGGTTTGAAGATTTTTGAAGGCTCGCACACGATTACCAATGAGTAGTGATTACTGCAAGAGACATTGGAACGTTTATACGAAAGCGAAAAGTTAGAAGCGCAAACAACAATAGTTGGAGGTAGGGTTTGCAACTAAGCGTGTGTGCACACACAACATGTGCTCACTTACTCCAGGTAAACTGGAATCGCTAGGTAGTCATGCTCCAATAGGGGCAACCCTTCACCGGACGCCATGGCCTTCTCCCACCTCCTCGAATACGTGAAGGCCTTAGAATCCAGCGCTGCCCATGTCTTCCCATCCGGCAAGTTAGGGTGTCGGATACTTAGCAATCTGCGTCAAATGCCAGAACAACAAAGGGCAGTAAGAAAACTAGTCAATCCAAAGTAAACACACGATGATAGATTCTGATAGTCATTACAGGTCATCAACTCACGTGTTGTGGAAGTCGATGACTGCATCAGACACCCATTTCCCATCGGCGATGGTAACCACATCCTGCTTTTTAATAACGCACCCGAGTCGTCGTTTGTTGTACAGCTCTAAATCTGGGAAATCTAAGGATTCTTTGCTCTGACAGATCCGGGAAATCACATCCGCGGGCTCCGGCAACTCCTCCTTCATACGAATAGGGGTTTCGATTTTTTTAAGACTCTCTACCGGATTGTTCGCAGCGCGACTGCTACGGGTTTCACGCACATCGCCAGCCGAGCTCGTCCTCGTCTGCCTGCCCGCGCCTCTACCGGGTTTTTTTGCCATCTGCTTTGCGAGAGCCATAACGTCTGGGCTTACTTCAGAGACGTCGCAATCATGATGCCTTTCGAGCTTGGCGATTGAAGGCGCTACTGGCCTCATTGACAGATATTGCTACAGACGCACCTTGAGGCAACTATCAACTGGACTCAACACTACTACAAAACCCTGAATTCGACAATCCATAGTATCCCTGCTTTGAGATACACCATCCACGACATATCGAGGTTGTCAGACAAGTGTCACGTCACACTGGTTGGTTTACCACAGCTGCGGCATGTTCAGGTAACCTGCCATCAATACGCGTGGCGCAACACGATTTGGTCCGTTCGCCAATTTGATGTTTTTGATCCATGTGTCGTGCTTTCAGGATTATCGAACCTCGGCTAATTGGGCCAGCGAATCTCGCGATTCATTGGTGAAACGATTCGGTGAAACAATTCCGCAAACGTGAAAGGTTGGCGCGCAACTGGATGGACAAACAAAATTGTTACACGACGTGTTACGATACGATGGACATGTAAAAACACAAAACAGCACAACAAAACAAACCAAACACAGGTTAGTCTTCTCGTATGTCGCATATAGGGTATGTACTAGAAGGTTTAGTATGGTTTTAGCGAAGCATACATCGGCGCATGAACGCGATCCCCCCACTCTCGGAAAAATGGCACAGTATGCGGTAAACGGTCTGTGATGGTGTAAAACGCATACCCTAGCAGACTCTGGTATTCTTTTCCCTCAATAGCTCAATTAGGGTTTCGGTTCTCACCATGACCAGCAACAGATGCGGCGGCTGTCGTACTGATTTGAAGGACGATAACGCTTTGCAGTCTCATCTGTCAAAAAAGAAGATATGCGCAGAGAACCAGAAGCGGAAGTTAGACGAGTTTTTATTGGACGCATACCTGCACGCAAGGGATTGTTATGGGGGACGCAGGCAGAGCAGTCCACCACGTTCTAGGGCGCGACGTGACTCCTCGCCTGCGAGCGACGCTGCACCGCCAGTCGATGGAGGGAGCGATCCGGCAACGGATGTAGAGGCAAACGATGACGTGTCCACCTGCTCTGAGGTTTCTGGCGATAACGTAGTGTTTGACACTCTCACGGAGATGTATCTTTTTTTCCGTGATGCCGATCTGTCTCGACGTGAAGTTAATCGTTTGCTCAACATATTCAAAAACCCGAGGTTCAACCTAAGGGCCCTTCGCCGATGGCGAAACTACGTGGATGTGAGGCGTTGGGGTAAGGCCCGTGCCCCACCGGACATGGTGCCATGGAAAACTAAGGAGATTGTGGTGTGTGGGCCCAAAGGAGAACAGAAGCTGCTGCTGCATTATCGTGATACAGAGATGGTAAGAAATACTCGTATGATTAGTATATGCATTGGTTTCCAGATTCTAACACAAATATACGCTTATTGATGTAAGTATACTCCCTCCGTGTCAGATTGTGAAGAAGCTTGTCCGCACATTCATCGCGAAAGAGGGTTTTATCAGGAAACCGGCGACTATCACATGCGAGCGCAGTAAGCAGCGCGTATACCAAGGACCTGAAATGGGGGAGTGGATGCATGCAGCCCAGGTATGCATTTTTTATTATGGGTAACCGGAATGTGGTTTACCATATGTGCTGTAATTTGTGTTTATTGCTAACACGCATTGGCGATTTGTTTTCACATACAGCGCGAGGTCAACGACAACAACGCCCTGATTTTGGGCGTCATCGTGTACAGCGACAGCACCCAGGCGTCCGGGAATGGAAGGAGGAGTGCATGGTCCGTGCTGATTACGCTAGTTAATATCCCTGAGGAGCTGCGGTGGCTAGAACCGGGACACACGCTAGCGGGGGTGTTGCCGTTTCCGCCCGAATGGGCTTCATCCACGGAGAAAACGCGAGTCTTCCAGGAGGCTATGAAGATAATACTCGCGCCACTATTGCGGGAGTCTGCATGGTATGCATAGATGTTGGGCTACACCATATGCAGGACCCTATTTTATTCCCGGCATGCCATACGTCACAGTGCATACTAGCAATTCTGCATACTACATGCTCACCTCCCTATGTGTGGTACATGTCCATTGGATTGTGGTATTTGCAGTTCTCCGGTGAGGTTCTTCTACGTGAGCGACTCATCGGGTGATGCTATAAAAGCGATCCCTTGCCTCTTCGGAATGCCTGGCGACTTCCCGGAATCGTGCAAAGCGTCTGCGACGCTTCAACAGGGCACTAATCGGCCTTGCACCACATGTTACGCGAAGGAGGGTGAGCTTACTCGCTTGGTCGGCACAACTGATCCAAGGACGCCGCACAAGCAGCGAGTGATTGTTCGCAGAATCTTGGCATGTGTGAAAAAGAAGGACTCCAACAAAATCAGGAGTGCATGGTCAACACATCTGATCGAGGTGGGTGTACCTCGTGTATAATGTTCCTGCTGATGCCAATCGTATTTTACAGCCGTTGCATTGTATGTTGCCATTTGCTCAGTGCGTCCTTCAACGATGGAACTTCGCGGACACCGATTGGGGAAACGTGTACCTGGCATGCCTCGCCGACACCTTGCACGTTCTGGACTCTGGGGTGTTCATCCACATGATGGATGAATTCCTGTCCACGCTAGGACAGGCTGAAATGCGCATCTTGGAGAGGTGAGGTTGGATTGTGAGTGTTGGGGTTTTGGCATGTTGATACCTGCCAAGACCCACTGTTGAACATTGTTTGATTTGGTGGGCATGACGTTCTCTACATCGCAGGCGCAAGAAAGGGGTAAAATGAGACACGCCTGTCAGAACATATATATTGCTTATACTATTGTGTAGGCTGTAGTGGGGTATCCCATAGGGGGTACAACCCAGTTAGGGTTTCCTATTTGTACTCACTTCATTCATAGTTCATTCCATTCTCGTTCTATTCTCCACATGGTATCAGAGCCACCAGTAACCTCGACCGGGTCAACAGCGTCTACCTGGGACACACCTGAGGGGGCAGGAACCTGAGGGGGGAGGGGGTCTACCGGGGGGGGAACCGGCACAAGGAAGTCCAGCGGCGGGGGGAGGGAAGGAGTGCGGTAGGGGAAGAGGCGTTAGAAGGGGACTGACTCGTCGAACGTGACGTCCTGGGAGGACAGAACACGACGGGAGGAGGGGTGGTAGAACTGCCACCCTGGAGCGTCAGGGGGGAAGCCAAGGAAGACACAGGGAGCAGCACGAGGGGACAGCTTGTCCGCAGACAAGTCGCGGACAAACGCCCGAGATCCCCAGACACGGAACGCAGACGCATCGCCAACCTTCCCCGTCCACAGCAAGACTGGGGACATCGCAGGCCGAGAGACCCGAGGGTGAAGGTTGAGCTGATGCGCCGCGTACCGCACCACAAACGGCCACAGGAAATGGGGGGCAGCCGCATGCATCATGGACGTACGAGCGACATCCATGACCATGCCAATGCGGCGCTCAGCAATCCCATTTTGCTGTGGAGAGTCCGGAAGCGTAAAGGTCTGGCGGATCCCCCGTGTACGACAGTAGTCTCGCAGAAGGCGAGAGGAGAACTCCCCGCC